TAATAGACCATATCGGTTCTGAATTTCTGATAATTTTCAAATCGGTTCTGATAATTTTCAATCACTATAAAGAATCCTAAATGGTGCAGCCTGGCTTTTCAATTAATTGATTTCTGATTTTTTTTTATTTCAGGAGTAATTTTGTGCAAGGTTGTTAACTTTGTAGAAAAGCTCTCTATAACAGTATCCTTTCTTCATCTTGGAGCCCTCGCATTCGACAGGTTTCTTGTTGTATTCTACCCGTGTCGGTCAATGGTTTCCATGAAATCTTCCAAAATAACAGTGGCCGTTATTTGGTTATCCTCGCTAATTTATTGGGGGCCAATTCTATACTTTGGCGGATTAAGATTAAAGAAGGGTGCATTGTCATGCGCAGTAAGGAAATTCACTCCAAACTGGGAATACTGGTACTTGCCATTCGTCATTTTATTGTTTGGCAGTCTATTTGTTATTCTAATTCTCTACATACTTGTAGCATTCAAACTTTGGCTTCGAAAGCTCCCTGGAAATCAGACTTATTGCATAAACAAACGCGTTCACAGGTCTAAGCGACGTATGGCTAAAATGGTATCTGTGATTGTATTTGCATTTTACGTGTGTTTTCTKCCCTACGGTGTTGGCTGGGTTGGCTGTTCGTACCTGGAGTATAGACCCAAGTCAATCTGCAATCCTTGGTACAAGTTTGTTAATATTCTTGTGTTACATTTCAACTGTGCGATAAATCCCATTATCTGTCTCGTGTTTAAYTTACAATATCGACTCGAGTGGAAACTTGCAATTGGGGATCCGTTTGGACTACGAGTGAAGCTATCACGAATGAGTTACCGAAGACGAAAGAGTTCAACAACTACTGAAGCTATGATGACCATCAATTGCAGCTCGAAGTGAGTCTTGTTTGYATGTATTTAGACTATGCCAATAAGAACAAATATCTCAGTTTGCTTGTAATTAGTTTATAGAAAGTAGATTCAAAGAAATGATGAGCCTCACACTAGAAGCATCAATGGATACTGAATGGATAAACAGACGTTTTCAACAAACTAAACATCATGATATCGTAAGCCTAGATTACACAGTTCYCCTACCATACCGTAATTACTCGAATAAGCGCCTCCCCCGAATAAGCGCCTCTWATATGGAGGGGGGCGCTTATTCAAGGTTATAGATAAGAAAACRGTATAAGTATCAAGAAAACAGTGGGAATTTGTTTTCCATAAATACAATATTTTAAGTTCGAAGTGACTATATTTCAGCTGTTCGATAGTTCACTATTAAAAATTTAATATGGTACGCCGATCAGATTCTTCCGGCGGTGGAGCTTTATAAAGTAGTATATTTAAGATATATAATGGTAAAATTTGATTTGAAAAAAAGGGCACCAAGTTTTAAAACATATATACCAATAACGAAATTGCTGTTGTGGAAAAATTTGCTATTAAAGAAAAGCGTATTTGGACCATTTTGTGCGTATTTCGTGCTTATAAATAAGCGACTCCCCCGCATAAGCGCCTCCCTCGAATAAGCGCCCCGTCTCAGACTCGAAAAATTAAATAAGCGCCGCGGCTCTTATTCGAGTAATTACGGTATTATCCTTATCACGACTAACTCAGTATAGCTGTACATAGTGTATCAGACCATTCCGTGCTATTGTCCCGTCGAACCAAATAGCCGTCAATCCAAAAATGAAATTCATTTTTTCATCGTAGCGCTGATCCAAATAGAGTCTAAAGCCTACAAAAAAAATTGGTGCATTATGTTCGGCACGAAAGCTCGACGTTTGAATCATCCTCGAGCTTTYGCCATGCACCACGACTGACTGCGGATTTCTACGTGGAGCTGCTGATGTGYTAAATTAAAACAGTTTAGTTCGACGCCGATAACACGATAACACGAGTATGTACATCGTTAGTTACTCAAAACATACACTAAACAAAGTTATATACATCTAGGATTGCTACTTTTAAAAATAGATTAATAAACTGAACAAAAATACTTGCAGAATAAAATGAATTTAATTAAGTCAAATAGAGTAATGCTGTTTGGAACTCATGGTGCTTCTGTTTCATCAACCAATTTTGTATTTATTAACCAAGCTTTAATTTTATTCAATTCAATTGTCAACGGAGCGTTTCTTTTACTTTCACTTTTTACTTGAAATAAGGAAAACAAACAAACGAACAGGCAAAATTGAAAAAAAATCAACAGCAGCAACAACAACAAGAAAAGCAAACAAACAAGAATCAGACAAACAAACAAGCAGGAATAAGCGGCCGGATTCGCATCGGATTCGCACCTGATTCTCACCGGATTCTCTCCCCACCTGACAGTGGCTATGGCATCCATAACGGAGGGAATATTCDATAATGGTATTGCCTTTTAAGTCATAATTGTACTTTATTTTAAACTTTGATATTATTGCAAATCAAGGAAAGTTTTCGGTTCACACTWTMTTTATTTTTCTTTACCTTTTGCTTATCAGAATGGTAGAAATATCGAACAGTTTTTGACCCTTCTGCTTACTCTCAAAGAAAAGTCAAATGTGTGAATTCAGAGAATTGCTGGCCACTGGACGGTGGGGAGGAATTGGTAGCTCAGCCCTCCAAAACACTCGACAGTGCATGGTTTTCGCTCCTGGTGTGCGTTTACCCTAGCCCTAACCAGAAGTGAGCGAAAAGATATCATGTCCCATATTAGGTGGAAAACGGAGGAAACCGATAAACATTACTTGCACATTTCAAAAGTCTTAAACTCAAATTCTCTAGCTGCGATACTGGTCAAGTACCCCTCGGACTCCGAACTTAAGCGTGCACATCTGCTTTAAATAAGCTATTCCCCTTCATATAAATGAAACCACTATTTTCAMTACCGGAAGTAAAGCATGAAATTAGCATAACAATAGATATYCCACAATGCCTTGTAGTGTATAAATAAGCGTGATCTGCACGCTTTGTTCATTCCGATTCAAACCACGGACACATACTGGTTTAATTCCCCCACCCACCCTAACCCCGACATGGCGTAGAACCTATAACACTCATGGATATACCGCTTTCCACTTTCGTGGCCAGCAGTCTTTTCAGACCTGCCCATATCTCATTGTATATTCATGTGTATTGTAGGTAGTGATAATATACTCTTTTTACAGACTTGTTTTACGTAAAATGGCGACATCACGCAAGCAATCCGTAACACGTTGGTGTCACTAAAGCCGACCCTTCGTCGACAGCGACAAAAKTACTTTCGTTTCACTTTCGTACTTTGCGACAGCTCTCGAAGCCTTCCGAAGCCTTTGCAAATGTAAAAACCCGAGTGTTCTACGAAAAAGTGTCCCATCTGTATTACCCATAAATGTAATAACAACCATAAATGTAATAAAAATCAACCATAAATGCAATAACAACCATAAATGTAATACCCACCATAAATGTAATACCCTCCATAAATGTAATAAAAATCAAACATAAATGTAATAACTACCATAAATGTAATAACGATCAACCATAAATGTAATAATCGACCCCACCATAAATGTAATAACTTTTAACCATAAATGTAATATTCGATACCAACCATAAATGTAATACCGTTTTATAGCATTTAACCATAAATGTAATAATCAGTTACTAAACATATCCCTTGACTGCTGGTATTCCTCTGCCTCAACGGAATAATAGTAGCATTTGTCACATGACAATATGACGTCATAAGATATGCGTTTTAGGAATAGGCAAAATACAAAACCATTTTAATATGTAACAAAGCATGATGGGAGTTCAATTCCTAGCACATTTCTTCATTTCCGACAAACCGTCTTTTTTTTTTCTTTCAAAACAACAAAAGCAGTAAATCTCTTACCACCAAGGAAAGAAGCAAGCACTACACCTCCTACCTTTCGTTGTTGTACAAAATGACGTCGTTGTACATTTCCAATTATTTATAATCTTGTAGCATCCTGGTGTCGAAACACAGGAAACCCAGAGTAAGAGAAACACAAGAAAAATATAACAACAACAACAACAGGAAGCTTGCACTGAGTCGAGAATTGTGGACCGTTTAATTGTATATTTTTTTGCGTTATTTCTTCTAATCTGAAAATCTTGTATTAACTTAAATTTAACCATCAAGCCATATCCTTCGCCTAGATGTGATTATACAGTTAAAAAAAAACGCTAGTTGAATCATCGAAAATAAAGATCCTTACACATTAAATGATATCAAACCCTGACTTTTCAACCATTCCCATGAGATTCAAAAGGTAAAAGACCGGCAGCCATGTTGGAGGAAGAAACAATAGATACTAATGAGAGGGTTTGTCGAAGTTACTCAAAGATTCCGCTGTGACGTAAAGTGCATGCAAGCAAACAACACTTAACACAGAGAACTTTTGCCAAATGTTATGGGCATGGTTTTCTTGTTATCTAAAAGGTCAATCTACCCCTGAGATATACTACATAAATCAACCGCCCGAATGAACTTTAAAAGGTACCCCATCTCGCCTTTATAAGACACACCCCTCACGACGTAGTAAATGAGCGGTTCTTTAGAGAGCCCCGAGTACACGCTGACAAGCGTCTTGTTCCATTGATAATCATTAAGTGTTAACTAGCCTAATTACTTACCAACACCAAACGTCCCGCTAAATGGTATGCTTGTGAGACGCATTTACATCTATGTTGCTCGTTTGAAACGGTCAGCGATGGGAGGAAAACTACAAGTTGAAGTTATTTCACTGCTAGTTTTCGTTTACCATGGGAAGGAACTCCAAAGTCGTCAGATTTCAGCTGTTGATGACGAGGTGTACAAAATTCTGATTAAGTTATGGAAAGGTACGTTTCATGTTCCGGTGGCGAAAAGAACAGCAACCCTAAAATCAACCATTATCGCTACTGATGGAGTTACTCGGTGGATATTGGAATATTCACGTATTTAAAGGGCAAAGAAGCCTATCTAAGAATAATACATGTTTTTAAGGCTGCGTTCATAATGTATAACACAGGGGGGGGCAGGTGAAATTTGGGGGAGAACCATATCAAACAATTGTGCCTCAGAGAAACATTCATTCGTTTGCCAAACTTTTGCTGACTATATATGGTAATCTTACATTATAAGGAAGTACGATAGAAAGTTTTTTTCAAGTTTTTTCCACCTTTTAGTGCTTTAAAATGGCTAAAACTTACAGAATTTGCAGAGAAATCGCTTTTCAACATGTCGGCCATTATAATTTTGTCCTAGTCCCCTCCCATCCTTGAAAATAAGGAATCCCACAAAAGACACAGGTAGCCCGCGCGAATGTTAGCAATTGTTTGATATGGTAACTTTTATAGACATTTTTTTGGGGGATGACAAATTTTTACTGTATTCGAAAGGGGGTTGCTAAAAATAATAATTAGAATCTTAATTACAAATGGAAAACAAGGTATAAATTGTAGAAGCTTCAATTAACGGATTAAATGCCAGTAACTTATCATTGTCTTTTTTATCATTTTAATCATCATTAATATCATCATCAATTTCTTCCTGGGTGATTTGAGAAAACGCGACTAGCCAATCAGCGCAAAGCTGACAAGCTTATGTTGTAAACATAACCCCACGACGGGAGGAATTTGCACAGCAAAACTCGACCCAGTGGAGTAGGCTGCCTGTCATTTTATTCTATCCGAAAAATCGAAGCTAAAACGCAAAGAGAAACTCAAA